TTGTCTGCATTTACACAGAAAAAGGTCTGACTTTTAACTTGTGTATGTTTAGTGTATTTTCTGTAACAGTGTAACCATCCAGATATAGTGCTGTTTATAACTTTTATCTTTCTGTGGGGCAGAATGTCTGTCTCAAGTGACCATTAACATGACATTCAGAATCTATATGTGGTAATGAACCTGGGTGCTAAAGCATTATTTTACTCACTTTGTATCTATAGAGCTTCTGCTGTACATTTTATCTGTTATCTGATGATTTGTCTCCAAATGGTGTCCACATGGGTCAGATTTAGCTGAATTCCAGTTAATTACTTACAATAATGTTAGCATTGTGGCTTCACCATTTCTTTCTTTTAGTACCAAAGCATGATTTTTTTTGCTCTATTCAGCTGTTAGTAGGAGATTGTACGAACATATAGAAATGAAACCATATGGATCCATGTGGCTGACTGTAAGAAGATGAGGGCTGACAGAAAGACTTGCATCTTTACCGGGCCCGGGCTTAAGCATGAATGTTAATGAACTACTGAGATGGAAGAAGCTCATCCTGATATCGCACAAGCTCCAGCTCGTGGGCTCACCTTGCTTCCCACAAGTCTATAATCTCTCCACGTCTTCTCGGGTGTGAAATCCTCTGTCACCTGGCTCGTGAGCGGCTGTGAAAGTTCTCTACTCTGCTGTGTGAATGCGGTTATAATGGTCTCTGGAGTGAAGCTGGAAAAAAAAACAAGGTGCCTGTAGTTTCCTTTGGAAGGTTTTTAGCTAGAAATCCTGACTTTGTATTTCATATCAAGACTCAGTGGAAAGATGGTTTAAATTTTCTAATCGAAATGCGTTATTTACTAAAACTTGTGATAAAGATATTGTATGAAAAGAGTAAATGTTTGATCTATACTTGTCATGTGGCTCTGTGTGAGTTTGTGTGTGGTATATTTTCAATCCATTTTAAATGACTAGCTCTTCAGAGAAACATCAGATAGTGTGTCAGTGCTTTTGGAAAAACAGATCTCAATGTATGTATAGCCCAGATCTTGTGCCTGTATCATGGCCTGTAGGTTAAGCGGTTGTAATGTTTGTTTAGAAGAGGGGAAAAAATGGAAATACAGTAGGGAGAGGCAGAGGGAGAGAGGTTGTCTTCCTTATTTAGCAATGTCTTGGCCAGCGATGGAGGAACTGGCAGAGAGCCTGAGAAATAAGAGCACACAAACAAATATTCACAAAATATACATGTGCACTTAAATTTCCAGACAAATGAATCATGACAGTGCTCACGCACAGGAAAGCAAGTGGTTTAGCATGAGTGCATGTAGACACGTAGACACACACGTTCCTCCCCCCTTCTCCTCTCTGAGTCAGCCTGACTATGACACTTTTTGTCTGTGCTTGGAAAATCCTGTAATCACACTTTTCTCCAAATTATTCCAAACTGTTGTGTTAAAGTGTTAAACTCCTGGCTTGTTGTAATTCGACTCAGTGTCCAGCACATGGCGCTGTTGTATTTCCTAGCAGTCCTGTAGAATAAAGCTCCAGCAGTTCCTCAAATACTGACATCACCCCAATAAAAGAACAAAACATAACCAGCCTGAAGCCAGTCGGATAATTATGTGACTCTCAGACGGCTGAAAGAGGTTTAATATGTAATTTCTGCTTTATTAGACAATATTCTGCAAGCAGAGGTGGGAGGAATTAGATTGAGAAATGAATACACAAAGCAACATATGTCATTAAGGAGCATGTTGATATTGATATTTTTGGTACTGTAAGGTAATATGCGTGTAAGCCACCAGAGCCTTCACATGTATACTCACATACCTGAAACATTTCAAATTAAATATGTATATTAGAGGCTGAATAAGCTAATCAAACAAATGCCCTCATTTTGTGACTGCCAACCTAATAATCTTCTTTAGGTATATTTTGTACTACAAGGATTTAATATTCTTATGGAAGCATAAGATTCAGGCAATTTCATCCATTCCAATGAAATACCATCTACTGTTTTCCCTTAATGCATTTTCTAAAACTGTTTTAGGAACCACAATTCTTGGAGAAACACACCGGCCTCAGAATATCTCAACAAGAGGTCAGGATCCGGGATAATTTAAAAGTCTTTGACTGCATTTAATCCAGTTTGGTTCCTGGGTGGAAACTGGTTCGCCAACCAGCGTTGTCGCTGTGTTATATCTCGATGATCTGAATGTGTTTTGACGTTGCAACTTGCTGAGCTGAGATGGAAACAACTCAGCTCTGGTTCTGTTTACACTACGGAGAGGATGGTGGGAGTGTTGGGGAGGTGGGTGGGGGGGATGTTGTGGACCTAGTTGTCTGGTCAGAAAGAGCAGGCAGTGAGAAATCCTTATTTGGTGAGAGAGGACAGTCAGCAAGTCTGGGCACCATCCTGAAAGCCTAACACTAACTTTTACCAGTTTCCTTCAGTGTGATTTTTTATCCTCATCACCAGCATCCCCATGCAGATGGCTAATAAGACTATTTTTTATTATTACCATGGAAACTGATTTTATAGTGTGGAGTGCAATTCTGAGCCTTTAAGCTAAATCGGATAAACTAACTTCTTGACTGTAAGAAACCTGAACAAGGTGGCTATCAGCTGAGCTGTGGGATTGTCAAAATATGCCAGTTTTACTTGAGAGATTGTGCTATTTTTTCAATGCTCATGACTAACTAGAGATCCACACATTCTCCTGATTGTACCAGGAATGTTAGTCATTAAGGATCCCCTCTACCAATGTGCTGGATTTTGGGGAAATAAACCTGGCAATTAATGTCTAACGTGGGAATGATCTCTGCGGTGTCTGATGGTGTTTGATTGGGGATTTCTGCTGATTGTCAAGTTTGATGGAAGGATGTATTTTAGTATGAAGCCAATTTTACCAATTTTATGAAACACATTTTTCCTTTACTCGGGACTAGCCATTTTTTACAAATTCTTATAGAAGTACATCCCATTTTAGGTATGACCAGCTGTCAATCAAACACAGAGACTGAGAGCAAAAACATAGCCCCAGAGAAACCATATGGGCTTATTTTGTATATATCTTATGCTTTGAGCTACATGCTAACATAGACATGCTAACAGGCTCACACTGACAAAGCTAACATGCTGTTTAGTATCTTATATTTACCACCTTAGTTTAGCATGTTGGGATGCAAGCATTTTCTAACCAGCACTAACCACACAAGTACCACTGATGCTAATTGGAATGTAATTAATTTTGCAGGTAGCCTATGTCATAAACTAAAGTGTTGGATAAACTGAAATTTTGACCTGATGATGGCGCTAGAGGTAAACTAAGAGTCCACCAAAGAGATTGTTGCATGAAGGTCCCAAATGTCTATGAGACATTTCACTCAATATCACATATTTTAACCATATGGTGACGCTAGATAAACTCAGAGATTCACCGAAACCTTTAGGATTCCCCTCTGGGGACCACAGCAGTCCAACCAGTAGTTTTTGAGATATTCACTCTTGACCAAATCGGGGACTGACTGACAGACCACTTCTGCAGCCTCACCACTAACGTGGCTAAAAATGGAGTTTAAACGCATGAATGCATAAACAGTGCGTGAGAACCAATTCCATGCTCATTGAAAGAGGAAACAGTCTGAGAAACAAACAACCACAAAGTGAATTTAGGGCAAACTTTGTAGCTCAAAGAAACATGCTGTGGTATCTAAATGTCAAAGATACCACAGCTACCACCGTGTTGACAGTTTTCATGCCGTGGTCTGTATCAAGCTCAAGAGCCCTATTCAGAAAGGTTCATTCATGAGTCAGATGGGAATTTAAACATAATTTATTTGCCTAAAAATTGTGCACATATTGAATTCTACGTGAATAAGCGATACTATTAATAAAAACAGTGACTGGAGATATCTTCAGTTTCGCAGGGGTAAACGATCTGCTCATGTCTGTCTGGCTCAGAGGATGAACCCCTCAAAACTGATCATGGTTTACATAAAATCAAAAACATGCACAATTCAATCACGAGTATTCAGTAATTTGAACCAAAACTTTTTTATTATTTATTAAGATATTTTATCAGTCACCTCAAACGGCTTAAAATAAAACCAATGTTGCAAAGTCACAGAACTAAGCTACAATCTTAAAATAGTTAAGTTAGTCTGTGTGTGTGTTATTCTATACAGTGAATTCACACCAAAGCTATGCATGCAGGGAACTGTACATGGCAGTATGTTCATTCTACAGTCAAAAAGCTAGCACAACACCACCATCATTAAAAAAAAAACAATATTATAATTAGTGGATATTCTCCAGACACAAAGTGGATTCAGTGTTTAAGTTAATTATGATAAAGTGTCCAAATAACAGTTGTTTAAGATCTATAAATTGCACCCAAACCCAAAGAAAGCAAAGAAACCTCAGCATCACTGCTACAAAAACACTTATTGCAGAACATTGGTCAGTTGTAAGGCATAAAATATCATCATTGTTACGGTCATCATCATCATCATCATCATCTGTCTCATACACAAACACTGTACAACATATACACACTCAGAACATAAAAACATTGATGTTGGTGCACCCAAAATACAGTAAAACAGTAAAAAGGCATTTGGCTAAGATAATGTAAATAATTAAAACCCTAGAGGGATAGTGGAAAAAAAAGGAGAAAAATCACATCTTGAATTATGCACATTAATTTCTGTAGAGGCACAACCAATAATGGGACTTCACCATAAATTAAATGCATCCCCAGTTTCTCCAGAAAATGCTGCGTGACAATTACTGAATCTGTCCCATATTACAAGAGAGGTAATAATCTGCACTTCTGGTTTTTACTGCTACTTTAAGTAACATTTTGTCAAATGGTCCAGTTGGAGGCCTTTCAGCTTGTTGAACAGTAACTGGGCAGAGCAATCATTTCCTGCAAACGCGCTGGCAATGATTTCGATTTAGTGCCCCGCTTTCCTTTAGTGTTACGGCTAAGGCTAGATGGTTTAATTCTTTTAGTTTAAGGCTCTTTGAGTTTTTGATACTCTTGGATATTTTTCAGGGAAGTAAGCCAATGGTACAGTGCGGGAGGAAGAGCATGTGGTATCATGGGAAAGGCTTTGTTTGGCTGAGCAGTTCCAAGGCAGTTGTGTTAAATGTTACAGTGTTTTGAATCTTGTGCATGATAGAATTGTCCATTTTTTCTCATGACCTACAGTACAGAACCTCCCATATAGTTACACTGAGGCCATACCATATATTCTCTATTATTGCACACTATCAATCACACACTCAACAACCTAATCATTTTCTTATTTTAATATTAATCTCTACTGGTGTTTAGGACTGCTCATGGATGTATGAGCCTTATCGAACAAGTCAAAAACAGTCGTTCAAGCGAAGGACCTTAGTCACAAATTTAAATGACATTACTGTCTGTATCTTTTTCATAATCTGACAGACAGGGGGGTGACCATGGTTCTCCAGAGTGGGAATCTGTTATACAATGTTCAAATGATGTGTAATATCCCTTTGACACTGATTTACACATTTAAGAGGTGTGAAAATTAAAATCAAATAATTATCAGGAGGCATGAGTCATTTTCAACACAGCCCCGTAATTTTAGGATGACACACATCTTGTGATTAGCAGGGAGATTGAGCCTGTTAAAGATGTGTTATGTGTTATTCTATTACAGTAAAACATGGCTTGACAAAATAAAATGCTGTACCTACAGTGACTGAAGGTTAATTGATTGGTTGTAAAATTATTCCTCCATCATAATTTAGTTATGATTCAAACTCACTACACTGAGCATCAAGTACCAGAGCCATTTATAGTTTGATTACGTGCTCCAGTGGAAAACCTGTTTGATTCTGTGCTCAGTGATTATCATATTTACTGGCCGTTATGATATTTTTTAATTTTTTCTTTTCATGTTTTTTAGTGAAATTTGAAAGTTGAACCATATTGTACCTCACTATGACGATGGAAACACCACTAAAGCACGCTAGTTCTCTGAAACAGACCATCTAACAATAAAAATCTCAGATAAATCCAATGACATCTAATGCAGATATAAACTGTGGCAGCTGCACCAGGCAGCCAGTTCTGGGGCAGTGGAAACTCTGGTTACACTGGTTCTCGAAACACTGTTATAAGCCCAATGGGGTGTAATGGATCATTGAGGTGAATACACCTCTAACAGCAACCTTTTTATGCACATTACACTGCACTACTTTTTTATCCTGCCGTGTAAGAAACATGTTGTCTTGTCAACAAGTTTTTAAAAGCTCAAATAAAAAATATCAAAAGACAGAATTCAGAAATCACCATTATAATTACCCAACAACATATAAACACATTGTTTTTCTTCCACTCTATTTCTTGTGACTGTACAGTTTTATTGTCTATTCGCCGTCTTGTATCAACAGCAGCAGCTTCAATCAGACTTTTTACTGACAGAGCAGTCAGCTGATGCCCTTGTTCTTTCTTTCTCCAAGTGGCTAATATATTTTATGTCTCTGCTTATGTTGTCTGGTGTTTGAAAGACAGACAGCTACAGGTCATCATCAGGTTAAAGAGGTCAAACTGTCCATGTGATCAATCAGCAAACGGGCGAGCGACCTCTCTCAGACGTCCTGAGGAAGACCCTGGTCTCTGTAGCCTGAGGACGTGTGCAAGCGTGGGAGGGCAGACAGAAATGTGGAGATGAAGAAAAGAGAGAGACAGACTTTTACATGCTTGTAGAAATAACAATTATAATCTGTTATCTGGCTTTTTTGGCCACAAGTGAAGAGCAACATGAAATTGCTAACCATTTATTTTGAACTCCTGACAATAATTGCCTTCCTCCGTTTCATTTAATTGAGCAAAATGAAAGCCAAGAGGCTGGCAACAACCAAAAAGGAGCTTGACTGCAGCATCAGGAGCTAATGCTTTATCAAATATTGGCTGGCGAGGTTTAGCCATTACCCAAGCACTCAACAAAGAACACTAATCTGACTTTTATTAGGGTTTCAAAATAGATTGGAAACATCAGTGACGAATAAGAAACTGAACATTCATAAAGACAGAACAAAACACTTTGCTTTACTCGTTGTGGTATGGTGAGGATCAACAGGCATTTGGCTAGGGCGGGTGTCATTTCAAGTAGATGATGGAGAAGTCTTCCTGTAGCGGCAACATCAAGAGGAATCCCTCCTATTAATCCTTACCTCCTGTTTTTTATAATTATAATTATAATTATGCTGTGGAGTTTGTGACTAGCAGCACTATGGAGCAATGTTTCCTTCTGGGTTACTGTAGAAACGTGGCAGTTAAACATGGCGGACTCCATGGCATCAGCTCATTCTGAGGTAATGAAACCATGATTTTTATATTGAAGTGATTATACACTAATGAAAACATTATTTTAGTTATGGATATTATTTTCCATGTGTGCCAGTAAATCCTCCCAAATGTTACACACTGGACCTTTAAAGTGTTTTTAAGACCTCATGACCTACATAACCTTTAAGTCCTGGTGGTGCTAATGTGTCAACCAGATCCATCTCTGTAACATTTCAGCGTACTCCATCCACTGATGAAGACCATGTGATCGAGTTGAAAGCTTGTCAGCTAGTAAGTGGACAAGGCCAAGAATGGATTTTAATGCTTGAGCAAACATACTGTAATATGTGGCTCCTGTACGGCCCAGATGAAAGATCATGAGAAAGTTCTAAATAAATGTTTTCCTAAGGATTGCTAAGCATGGGAAATGGTGGTTATTTGTTTGGCTTCCTTGATATAGTTAAATTTAGTAAAACCTGACTATTCACTATTTCTGTGACGTGCTCCTACATCACTCACACACAATTTATCAACTGGCTGTGGGATTGTTAGTGAGTAAAACAGAAGCACCTACCGTCAGAAACTTTGGTTCAGAACAGAGGGAGGTGAACAGGGGGAGGAGAGAAGAGACAAGAGAGGAAGTTAGTGATGGAAAACATGAGATTCACTGTTTAATAATTTTCACGTATCACACAGAAGTTGACCGTAACAGTAACACAAAACAGGCTTTATGGACAGTGAGATACATTTTCACAGAGACTCCTTGTAACTTTCAAGGGAAAACAAAAGCCTCCTTTCAACCTGAGCTGTCCTCACTCTAATTCATATACGTTACATGATCAAATGAACACAAATACAGTAACATAACCCTAGTTCGCTGGGTCGATGAGCAGAAATATGGAGACAGGAACAGGGGGAGACATGACGAGTAAAAAACTGAAAGCTGAAGAAGAAAGTGAGGCGGAGAGGGAGACTGGGGGGCTGGCAGAGAGTGGGAGGAATAAAGTGAGAGAGAGAAAGAGAGGGAGCAAGGATATGGTAAGATCAAATAGGAACAATCATTAGATAGAGACAGAAGCAGAAGGGAGGCCATCAGTGGGAGGAAGATAATATCATGATCATTTGATAGATGGAAAGGGAGAAGAGAAGGAGCGGGATGGAAGAACGAAGAGATGGAGGGGTGTTTGTAGAAATGCAGGTATGGAAATAAAGAAGACATTGATCATATATGCAACACAGGCTCATTAGAGAGGGAAGGAGAATAATGATAAAAATGCCATATTATCAGAATGATTCATTGCATGGAGGAAGAAAGAGGGAACGGCTGCATAAGAGCATAACTCCCAAAGCTACAAAGACATGTACTGTGGTGATGAATAGTTGAATAATAATTGATCTTAGAAGCTAACAGCATGCATGATTTCACCCTAAGAATCTGGCCTTCGGTGCTAACAGGAAAATGGTTCTCATATTCAATATAAATATTCAATAAGCTGCTAGCTGTGAGAGCTAACAGGAGTATGGATTTGAGCAGCAACAGTTGAATAAGACGTGTGCGCCCAGAGGCCCGAAAAACAGTGGGGAGCACAGTGAACAAAAACACACGGGAGGGGGGGGCTGCTCACTCCCACACACACAATTACTGTACCTCACACACACACACAGATCCCTGCAGGCGTGTGTGAACTAACACGCATTTGGTTGCACATGCAGGCAGCAATTACCTCACATAGGCACACTCATACACACACAAAGGAGACAGGGCTGTGGTAATTCAAAGGCTGCCTTAGTGCAAAGAGAGAATAGTGACTGCGACTGTGTGTGTGTGTGTGTGTGTGTGTGTGTGTACACTTGTTCCTGCATCAGTGCCTGGAGGGAAGACACTACTTTCTGACAGAAAGGGCGGTAAAATTACCAACCTCTCCATCTCTGTTCTCTGCATCTACCTCTGCTTTCTTTCTTTCTTTCTTTCTTTCTTTTTTCTTTCTTTCTTATATCTGATGTTTTTGTAAAAAGTGCTGTGCAGAGCTGCTGGGTAAGGCTGATGTTATTCTATTCAGTATTTTTGTTATTGTGAACAAATCTGAGGAAAAGACAGATGTTGTCAGAGAGTTGAATAGCTGTAGAAAACCCCTCCACTCACACCTTTCCAATGTCTGATTATAGGGGTGTTGTGTCCAACCATTCATGTGACTTCCCAAAACAGACAATCCTACATTCACACCCTTCTCACACTGTGATTGGGCCAGCTGTGCGGATGTCTAGATCTCTTTTTTCAGTCTTGACACCCTATATTTCTGTCGCTTTTCAGTGCAACACTATGAATGTCTTCTAGGAGAGACGCCTGAAAATGTGTGTCATTATCCCCATATTCAAATGATATCCGGTTTCCTTTTCTCTATGAGAGAATGCCGTTCAGAACAACTATTCACTTTTATTTTCCGATGTGGTTGGACAACATGTCTTATGAACTAGTTCTGATCGAGCAAAATCCAACCCGTAACCTTCCCCAACCGCTCAGCAAGTCCATTGGTTCCTACTTAAGACAAGGGTCACAAATTAAAGTAAATGTTGGTAAAACAGGAGTAGATAGTGCATTTGTTTGGGACTATTTTTAGCTGCGGCTTAATCTAGTGAGTGTCAGCAGGGTGGTCTCGAGGGACTGAGTCAAAATCAATTATAGTGGCCATGTGCGACTATAATAGAGCTCTACACATGCAAAACGTGTTAGCAGGGTCATTGGATTTGTTGGAAACTAGAAAAATATAGAATATTGCCATACTTATCCTTGTATAGTGAACTACATATTTAACTATCGTGTGAGAAAAGGCACAAATCGGTCATGGACTATGACATTTTCAGTGGCCTTTTTCCTTACATCTCTACAGGCTGTGATAACAGTAGCATTGTAATTTAATTTTCATGTTGAGACAGACAAACAGAAGAAAAGGAGACAAGACTGAAATAAAAATGAGAGCTCAAGAGAGCAAAAACTGCCAGACAGAAAGACAAACACAGCTCGACAAGTACTGACTCGCCAGGATGACCATGTCCATTCCCCAGAAGATGCTCATGATCCATCCAACCATGATAACAGCTGTCAGTATCTGGATGAGGGCTGCTGCCATGTTGAGCCAGAACACACAACAAACGCCTCGCTCCGAGATCAGATCACTGCGAGCTCCACACAGCACCGTGAACGCTGAGATGAAGGTACCTGTGGGACAAAAACAAGTACACTGTTAAATTAAAAGGTTCGGCCCTGACGTGGTACTACACAGTTACAACAGCGCGATTGGCTCCACAATGTGTTTATCCCACAGACTTTAAAGGAGTTTTCTGGTTAATTTCTAATGTAGACAGCAGGCTTTTTAATTAAATAAACCAGAAGGGACAGGTGCTTGCCTCTGCTGAAAACACGACACAAGTAAATTCCAGTGTTATTCACAGCGGCGCCTTGAGCTTAATGCTAACACCAGCTTCCATATTCTTATAATGACTGTATGCTAACCAAGTAGTTTTGGGGCCTGAACCAAACTAAACTGCAACCATTTCACAACATTAACGACTTATTTATTATTGTTACCATGACGATAAAGGTCCTTTCCTCCACTTCCAGGGAGAGTGTGTATTTTTGGAAAAACAGGCCTTTAATGCCAGCAATGGGCGTTTGTTTTCAGATGTTGGACAAATGGGCTTTTATCCAATGGGGCATTTTTCAGACTAATGGGGTATTTGGAATCATGAACAATGGTATGGCACCGTTAGCGTACAGTAATTGTGAGCATATTAGCATGCTAAAGCTGGTTCTTCGATATAACAGGCTATTGGAACAAATTAACTTTTGGTCCAGTGGGACATTTTCTGCACTATTGGGGTTTTGGAATAATGGTCAGTCTCTACGTTAACATGCTGATGTTTAACAGGTTACATTAAGCATGTTCATCATCTTAGTTTAGCATGTTAGCATTTACTAATTGCTAACTGACGGAAATGTCATTCGTTTTGCAGGTATTGGTCCTAAAACCAAAGTAATGGATTATCGCTGAGATACCGTGGATATCTGTACCAAATTTCCCAACAATCCGTTAAATAGTTGTCAAGATATTTCAGGAAAAAACAAAAACGAAAATGAAAAGTCGGCCGGCTTTGGAGACCACGAATGTCTGAACAGAATAAAACTCTCCACGGACAAAATAACAGGTTCCACACAGTGAGACAGATTGGCACAGAGATATCTCACACCATCCACTCAGCGTCCCTCAGTAAGTGAGTCAATATTTAAGCGACCGCCGGTGAGTATCTGGCGATGGCAGCAGTGGATTTATGCTTCACAATACAGACAGACACAGACATATCGATGCTCACATCCACAGAGCTGAAAACAGAATTATCTCTGTGGACAATCCTTGCCTGCCTGAATGAAATCCAATATTGCTACTTATCCTGTTATCTGGAGACCCGGACCTTCCCAGGCCCCGTTCATTGTACAGTAAATGCACTGTGTGTGTGTTGTGTCACACAGAGAAGCGTGTCTGTGTCTCAGTGCAGACAAATCAGGTTATTTCTTTACAGGATGTTTCCATGACAACATTTAGTCAGGGATAGGATATATATAAAATGTGATTTGTATTCGCTGTATCGTGGGTCTACCTCATATTATCAATATTCAGATTTTCTTCTTAGCTATCATTGTACCAGCCTACAGTGTCTTCTTTGGCATTATTTCACACTGACTCACTAACAAACCACTAGCAGTGTTTGTTTCAGCCTACCTGACATCCACACATTCATTTTTGTGAATGGGACAACTACTGTATACACTGTTAACATTACAGCCAGAAGCCTCCCACTAAGTTCCCTTTTTTTAAGCCAAAAAAGATTTTTGACAGCTGGCTTTTGGATTGTCAACTTAATTAACTTCCGCTTTTCCACCTCCCCCAAACACAGAAACAAGAGGCGTCAACCACAATTCTTATTAATAGAGACGTAAGAAAAAAAGAAACAATACAATTCTGAGAGAAGTACAAAAGCATAATTCCCACACAGAAATCAATTCTTTCCTGTCACTCATCTTATGTGACATTCTTTCATATGCAGCTCTTTTAATAACTCTGTTATCAAATCCCGAGAAGGGATGCCCTTAAGGCAGTTCACAAGAAAAAATTGCCATCTGGGCCCAGTCTTTCAATGATGGCAGAAAAACAGACAATACCCCCTAAAATATAAAGTTTTGGCCAAACAGAACAGAAATGTTCACTAACATAACTATCTTCATCTCAATATTTTCATCCCATTTATCATGTTCATCAAATGCACCCAAATTCATAACACATAAGAATATCATAGCATATTTTTTGTTAGTATTAATTCACAAAGTCTCATTGAGAATAAAATCTCTTTGTAGAATTGTCTGAATAAGAAATGTTTTCTTAGTGAGAAATATTTTCTACAAAGTTATTAATTATTCATAGAATCAGCAGAATCAGTTTAGACTTCCTCTCTGCTGGCTTTTTGTGCAAATACTGAACTGAAATGCCTAGTGGGCGTTGAGTGCATCATGGCCTTGGCCCCTTCTCTTTCTGCAAGCTCCACTTCTTGTCACATTGGAGGAATTCAAATAACAGAGCAAGCCAAGCAGGTGGGGGGAGGGAGGAACCAGAACGGCCGCGCTGCCAGCTGCATCTCATTTCTCGGGAGCAGGGATAGGCCGAAGTCGACTCATATAGAAGTTAGTTTCTGATCGCTTTTTCCTCTTTCAGTCTGTTTCTCTGTTTTCCCTATATACAGTTTCTCTCTTTTCTATAACCACAAGTTAGCAGGTAAACTAAAAACTGGGAGCTCTGAATGAACCTTTTCTATGTAAACAGAAACAGAGGCATCCCAGATACAATTTGTCCCATAATCTCTAACAAATTTCAATGTACACCATAATATTTACTTTCACATGGCCTACACTGGCCTTATCTGGAACGTGTTTCCAAAAAGTCAAACTCACAATCCCAGAATAGCAGCAAACTCGGAAAAAAAAGGGCAACGTTTACATATGTAAGAGGAGAGGAGAATTAGAGATTTACTTTTCCTTTCAAGCTTTTAGCTGATGCTCATTTCAAAGCATCTCACAAGAAAGAGCAACAGTGGGCTAAAATGAGATTCCACCCAAAGCCGATATGGTCTGATCAGACAGAGAAATGTTCAGGTCGCAGAGGCCACACCCACCAGCAGATGCTCTGGCTACTGATGGAGCTGCCCACCTCCAGACATGAACCACGATTGACAGCAAGCTGGTAGCTGAATGGTTACACATCACTTCCATCTTTGGCACGTGAAACATGATTTATACGGTCTGGATACTTTCATTTTTTTAGGTCCCAGTCCTGTGTGTTGTGTTCACTGAACTGTAGGAAGAAGCTGTAAACAGCACCACCTAACATAGTATCACCTTTTGGTTGAACATGTTAGCAAACAGTTGCCTCTTTGTGGGATGCTTTTATTGTGAAGAAGTTATAGGCAATGTGTTTGTTACCACGTTACCAGTTTTGTCAATACAGGTGACTATTTTTTAACATTGCATGTCGTCCGTTGATCCATCGTAATAAAAATATTGATTATAGCACCTTTGATTTACTGTCAAACTAATAAGTCAACCAACATGTCAATTCACTCCATAAGCAGCTTACTGACCAGGGAAACTCACCGGATGTGCGTCTGATCTGTGATGTTTTTTCAGAGAAAAGCTGGTCTGCTGGAACTGTTCCAGTTATTGGCATCAGGTGTATGTGCTCTCTCATTGTGTATTTCAGTGTATTTTTAAACAGAAGTTCACGAAACAAAATAATTTGAAACATTTCAGCTGTTGCACGTTAAGAGAATTATCCAAAATCATTTGAATAAAATCTAATTATACACCCCAGGCAATATCAAAGTAGTGAAGAAAGTCTATTATTTCAGCTTCTGGCCTCAGCACCTTTCAAACTGCCTCTAATTGATCTGAACAAAGCAAACCATCAAGGAAATAACATGCTGTGTATGAATGTGTGCAGTTGGATACAAAAAGAAATAGACAAATAAATGTGCTCAACAATTCTTACTAATAATAAAAGTTTATTATGTTTACTCAGTTTGAGAAATCTACTCTAACAATGTGTGAAAAGCTCTTGGATCCTCTGTATGTCGCATGTGGGGGATTGTATGTGTGCGCATGTGTGTGTGACTAGATATTACCCAGACTAATGACCATAATTACAAAGAGAACTTTACAAAGCACCCACTGGTAGTGTGGGAGGTTAATGATGGAGTGTAAGAGTGTGAAAGACAGAAAGAAAGAAAAAAGAGAAAAAGAAGAAGACATACAAAGAGACAAAAAACAGGGGGAAGGGAAAGAAAAGGAGAAATTAAAAGAGAAAGCAAGGTACTATTTTCACTGATTGAAAAGGGAATTAAAATAATTTGCAAAGTAATCAGTTACTAAATTACCTTAAATTACTTTTCAAATTTTACTGGACCAGAAGGATCAAATTCTGATTATAAGTGTAAAGAAAACTGACCCCCTGCTCCACATAGCTTCAGTTCATGAATGTGCCCAAGGCTGCCAAATATCAGTATCATTCATCTACACTTGTATCCCAGCTCACTGATATTTGCAACCAGGTACTCGTATTCGTTTATCAGAAAAAGCCACTCACAGGTGAAAAACAGTCTATATCTAGGATTAAAACTGCTCTTTGGCCTTTATTTACAAAGTCAACATCAGGAGTGTAGGAGAGATGTTACAGAACTGGTCATGAGAGACAATGAACCATCCTGGTATCACACAGGAATGTTTGGACATGACTGCTTCTCTTGGTAACAGCTTTCAGCAGCAGCAATTAAATCAACAATACAGTCATGTCGTGCAGTATGGAGCCCTTTGTAAACCTTTCAGCCGTGCACAATAAGTGCAACAGCTTGTGTTGATCAGGATACTTAATGTAGGTGGTGATTTCCAGGGTACCTTATTATTCTAAATTATTTTTCCCAAATCCCAACCCCTAAAATGAACCCAATAACATTTTCTACATGTCCGTGATCCTGACCTGATCCTGATCTGTGACTTTTGACATAACCCATTATTAACTGGGGACTAGCCCATTGTTCCGACTGCCCATTATTTTGAAACTGAATTTCGTTATCCCGAAAAAAAAGCCCACTGCTCCGAAGGCCCATTGCTCCAAAACT